GCCGGCCAAGAAAACTTTGCACTGGGGTCCTGTAAAGGGGTTCACCGTACAGGCCCAGCGGGGCATGGGCCGAAGCTGATACACGTCCGGTGCACCAGTTGTGTATCGGCTACGGTCCGTATTCAGAAGGAAGAACGCAAGCATCTGTGAGCGTCCGCAGTTGGCTGCACACATCCGTTATGGCTACGGGGGAGAACCTTAACCCATTACCTATAGAGGGGTTGGGCTCACTGATTTTGTTTCTAGCGCTTTCAATCCTGCATTCGGTAATTTGTATAAATTGGTCAAACGTGAGTTTCGGCCTCGGTGTTGCACAATGACGATGTACCAAGATCCAGTACTCTTCAGCGAAGCAAATGCTGAGCCCCAAAGCTTGCATCTGTTCTCATAACCTCAAGCGTACCATGTCAACGATCGATCGAGTTTCGCGATCAAGCTTGAGTGGAATCAATTGAGGACGCGCCTGAAATATCCACACTTAATGCATCCCACCTGGGTCACTACATGTGCCCACGCTCTTTGCGGGACCGCCTTGGGCAGATAAAACACATGAACCACAACTAGTCCTACGATACTCGAATTGGAGATGTGACGTGTTTACACCACTAGGTCATCCAGCTGGTGATCCCTCTTAATTTCTTCCCTCGCAAGACCACTGGCAGCCCCATTGAACGCTCCTTCCTATCTAAGACATGAAATTATCACTCACCTACACCGGACCTCGCCGAAAGAGCGTGAATGGACCTACTAGGACTTCTTGATCCTTCCAGCGCTGGCGTTCCCTGAACACCCCAATCCGATTCTGCTTTCTCTTTCTGCCTGACCTTTCCGATTCAATTACTCCATCGGACAGCGACCCCGTTCAAGTTACTGCCTCCTAATGTCATCGCTTTGTTACAGATCTGGCCCTTTCACTTCCTTGTCGTAATTTGCCCCCTCGTCTTTCAACGAATGACTTTTTATTTCCTTTTGTCCGTCTATATTTTTGACATCTTGCAACCAACGTCCCCATACTCTGTGTTTTTTCCACTTGTCGTATTGTTTTTCATTTTCATTTCAGCGGCCAACAGCCCAGCGGTGTATCCATCATTGGAATTTATATATTTTTAGTGCCACACTCAATGGATAGTTTGAATTCCTATCTGCACCTAACCAGTCGCGAACTCGCCGTTCGAGTTGGGCAACGACTTCTACGCCTTTGCGAATTGTGAACAAATGCGGGGATTCGTGGGGTGAACGAGGTGATCTTACTTCCAAAAATACTTTATCCGGTTTACTTCTAAATTCCAACCGTATCATGCATCACGCATCATGATCCATACCGTCAGACTCCGGTCAAATTTCACTTCTCTGGCAGGAGATTGGACCTACAAAGACTGATCCACCAAGAAGCTTATTTCCGCTCGATTATCACTGACTGTCCCGGACTTAGCCGCACATCCTTTTGTCTGCATTTTGTCATTCGGTGGTGAGTACACACAAGCCCTGGCTCCACTGCACAATAGTTCATCCCGCCTCAAGGCAGAATAAACAATACACCTTGTTTGAACATCGCACACAAGGCCGTAGTGAAGGTGTGTCCATTCAGATAGCTGGGCGCTTGAGCCTTTGATCTCCCATAACAACAAGGCAAGCTTTCGTTCAAGCCATCATCAACCGCTTCTTGCTAATGTCTGGCACAGAGGGAACGGATACTCCACCCGTCTATTCGCGAGCGAGTAGCCCGACGGGTTCATCCATTTCCAACTTCGAGGTTGACGATGTCGCGCCTCGATACTCAGACGCACCTCGTTACTCATCTGTGTTTCCCGTTCATGGGCGCCCAATCCGGGGTACTCGTGCTTCGCATCCCCTGACAACTGAACACAACTTCAACCTCGAAAGGAACGATATACCATGGGTCAAATTGGCATTTACTAGCAGGGCCTCATCTGCCTTAGATCCACCGAAACTTGAAGGCGGTGATCATATTGCTGGAACTTTGATATTAGACTTGGACTCTCCAATGGCTATCAGTGACATTACTATTTCAGTAGGGACAACTCGTCTCTTCTCGTTCAACTTACTCATAATATGGCGTAGGTGAAGGGATTTTTCATTACCGCTGGTACGGAGGAAGGATCGTATACCTTTTTAGACAAGTCATATACCGTGTGGAGCAAGGCTATGGGTGACCCTCGCTACGCCTCAGACTCTTCGACACAAAGCGCCAAATACCGAGGAAACTTGGATGCAGGCGAATATACCTGGCCTTTCTCGATTCCGTTTCCATCCAATTTCGACTATGGTTCCACTCCTGCTGCGACTAAATCTTATCGCATTCCGCAGTCTTTTCTCGAGAGAGGCGCCCCCGCTACAGTTCAGTACAAGGTTCTCTTGAATATTCGGCGGGGCATTCTACGATCAGACAAGAAGTGAGCTCACTTTGTCATCTTGCTTCAGTTCCATTGATACATATGCCCGTTTCAGTATTACAGTACCTGTTGTATATACCCCAAGGATCGTTCCAGATTCGCCTTCTGATCTGCGTCAACTTTCATATCGCGAGGCTCAGCCTTTGATTGGGCCGGTTGAAGATCCTGAAGGATGGAAGACGTTGCCTATCGTTACAATACACCCACAATCAATAGAAAGTCAAAAGCCTGTGAAGATCACTTGCGAAGTAAGTTTCACTTTCTAGTACTCAGGGGGGACAGACTCAAGCTCACGTATCCAAGCTTTCGATCGCAAATCCCGTACGTCGACATGAATATAATATTGCTAAGACCATACCGATTCCCTATTCATTTCAGTCCTGTTATTCCCGTGGCACTGTAATACCATGTCGCCTTACATTGAGGAGCTCGGATCCAGTTATTCTGGATGCTCTGTCCCATAGTGATGCCATCGACCTCACCCTGCAGCGACGCATCAAATATCACTTAAAAGGAATGCGAGGGAACAAGACGACCGAGACGTCCAGGTTGCAGAGTGCGGTTTGGTGGACACCAGTCAACTCAAGCCTTCCTGCAGATGCGGAGACCCGCACTCTGGAAGGGGAAATTCATCTGTCAAGAAACCTCCAGTCGACTTCCGCTTCCCCCTTCTTTTCAGTCAAGGTAAGTTGTTTAAACCCGTTCCATTACCAACTGACTTTCCTTTTGTGCCAGTACACAATCCAATTTTCCGCGCTCAATTCTGATGCAATACATCCCGAGAGTGGAATAATCAAAACCCCATTGACGCATACTATCACAATTGGGACTTTCGCGGCTCGTGGGCCACGAACGCGCGAATATTCAGCACGCTCATAGAAACTGCGGGGTAACTCTGTTTTGGGTTGTTTTCAATCTAATCTTTCCCACCGGGCTGGTCCTTAACTCGTAGATGTTATCATGTTAACTTAATTCAGACCCGCTGGGCAGCGCCTGGCTTGACTTAGAGACTCGGGCGCTAGGTTTTTTTTGATACTGGAGACACTAGCACTATGTATTTGTACATGCTACAGTCATAAATGTGGCTATTGATTTGGGTTCTTCCAAACAATGAGTGGATTCTCCTAAAACGGAGCATCCCTATTGGCCATGTCTCCGGCGTGGATAGCCATCTAGCAGGTGCCCATCTCTGCCGCACTGACGGCAATGAAGGCAACAAGGTCGATGTGCCCCTAAGTTAATCGAACGAGCGGCGGTGCTTCCATGCCGCTGCCAAGATGAGCCACTTGCATCAGATACGTAGGAGTGTTATTCATATGACCACACCTTTAACGACATACACAGCGGAACTAGCGAAGGAGGAGGGAGGCTATTCTTGTTGGTTCCATAAGTCTGATAAGAACACGATGGATGGTCCGGGAGGGGGGGGGGGACAGATCTCATTACAAGCACCTCAAGCCCGCGTCTTTCGAATCAAGAAAGGCAAAATCAAAGTTTTCGCCATCATTCGGGGCGTTTTGCCAGGTGCATCTGTAAGCTATTTAGTGGAAGTGCATGTATCACGACCGGATCGCACTGGTAAATTTTCTGGCATATCTGAAATATTCCCAACAACAGAGAGTGTTGTCTTGAAAGAGCGCAGCATCTCCATTCCTTGAAAGGGTCCTCTGCGCCACATAGAATGAAAGGAATCAATTGCCACTTTATTCATATTATATCCATCCGCAATATCCGAGTCTTGTACAACTGATGGAAAGCGAAATTACGTCTCGTCTCAAGCGTTATAACTGGGAGGATTCTCAGTCGGTGTGGCAGCCGAAAGGGACACCGTTGAGGTCTCCGCTGGTGAAGTGTACGTCGCTGACGACGAGTTAGCAGCCCAAGGTAATACTTGAAAGGACATGTGCACGTACGCAGCCCTTCCTCCTCTTCTGCAGACTGCCGCTTCATATAGATCGCCCGCTCTCTTGTCTTCTCTAGAAGACTGACAAACTCAAACATGGCGCGATGATTGAAGCGCAGCTCGGCTTTCGTGCCAGTTGTGAGCCCACCTTCCGCAGAGGGCTTGATCTCAAACGAGAGGTAATTGGTGCCAAACGTGGGCTGCTCGAATTTAGTCGAGAGGATTGCATGCAGCGGAACAGAGAGGGATTCGAACGAAGCGCCGGCAGTGTCGCTTGTGAAGATCAGCTACATAAGAAGTATTGTGATCGGTAATGAGAAGACATCAAGCAAGTCAACGTGGAGTCAAGAGGTCGACAACGGGAGGAGGCGCACACGTTGATCAGTGAGCCAGGCCTTGCCCAAAGCCTTGAGCTTCTTGATACCACCAGATCCTCCAGCCGTCTCATTGCCTACTGGCACGGAATCTGGTATGTGCAGTGTGAGGTCCACTCCTGAGTCAATTGTCGTTATTGTCATCTCATGTGGAAGAGGGACGGGCGAGCGGTTCGGGCTGAGCATCGTCCAGTTCAGCGCCATGGTGGGCGTTGGTGGTTGTGCAGATGTTCTTGGCACCCAAGCTGGAGTCCATCAAGTCGATCAATGCCCGGCGGCCGAGAATCAATACACTGAGCGCTACGTCATGGCTCCCTGGCGCAATGGTAGCGCGTTTGGCTTCGATTGCCTACGGCACCAAAAGGTTGCAGGTTCGAGTCCTGCGGTGGTCAATATTTTGCTGAAATTCTTCGGCGTAAAAGCGGGTTCCAAGGGTAAGGAGCTTTTTCGAAGGCCTCTGCTACCCTTGGCGTACAGCGTCGGTCCCCATCGCTGCGTAGGCGCGCAAGCGCCATCTCCTGGCGGGCCCTCTGCCATCTCCGAGTCCTGGGTGATCCGTGCGCGGTG